ACCAAACATCGAGTCCAAGTCCGAGTCCGAATCACCTCTCCCGAATCCGAGTCCGAGTCCCCGCAGGTCGAGTCCGAGTCTGAGTCCCGAGTCATATAGGTCGAGTCCAAGTCCGAGTCACGAGTCACAAAGGTCGACTCCGATTCCTATCCGATTCCGAGTCACGGGCCACCTTTAACAAACTAATACTGAAACTAAATGAAAGGTGCTGCTAAAACCTCACAGTGTAAATGCTTCCATTTTTTCACAGCTTTTCTCTAATTTAATGAACTGGAAATAAGGCAAGGCACCAGTGTCTGGAAAGGATAATCTGGTACCAAACACTATCAAGCTTGCATTCACGCAATACGAAGCTTGTGGGCGCTGGGGTACATTATCGGAAACAAGCAAGCCACACGTGATGTGTATGAAGATGCGTTTCTTCTGCACCGCACAGACTGCAACGCTTGCTCAGGAGAGGATCGTCTCCAAAAATTGTAATTATATTATTGGAAAAAAACCCAAGTGATTGTGGTAATTTTGGTTGAGTTCCGAGTCCGAGTCCAAGTCCGAGTCTTCAGGGTCGAGTCCGGGTCCGAGTCATTTGTCATTGTGACTCGAGTCCGAGTCCGAGTCACGGAAAATGGGACTCGAGTCGGACTCGAGTCCGAGTCCGAGTCCGAGTCACGAGTCATACAAGTCTGGCAGTCCGTGAGTCAGTCAGTCAGGTATACAAAGGGGACTGTAGGCTGGCCCTCTGGGACCAGCACAAACCGAGATAGCCAATTTACTATAACCAGAGATAACCTATATTTCGAGAAGTTTGCAAATACTTGCCAAATGCTCCCCAAACATGCGGTCTCGTCAACATGTTATAGACGTCAACAATTACGTTTTTAAAATGGGTAAAAAGTCACCCAAGTTTTTACCACATTACACTTTTTAAAAACCACAGTCGGATCTGGAAATCAGATAAATTTGCCCCAGCTTCCGTACTTGTGACCCTTAGAAAGAGCTGAATTTGACATTTTAGAAAAAGCAATGTGCATAGGTTATTTTATGAATGACGTATATGACAGGCACTTATTTTGCAATATCAACTACGTATTTTGTCATGCAGGACCAAAACACAATTCAATTTCGTACATTCAACACAAATTAACTTTAAAAAGTCGTAACCTTCAAAATAATATACCCTAGTTGCTAAATATTTTTTGATACATCTTGAAACTCTTAAACTTTAAGGTACAGTTACAGGTTTTTTTTTACAAAGAAATAAACAGGCACTTGATATATCAAGACAAAGTGAAGACTTTATAATCCTGCGATTATTGTGTAATCTTCACCTGCAAACGACCAACAATATGGTGTTCTTCATTTAAAACTTGACGGGTTCATTTTCAAATATTGGTTTGCAGTGTGTCATTATGTTTGGAAATAATTAGCAAAACCCTCTCGTGTCCACCTGATTAACATACGTTTTCCAATTAAAGGGGGAAGTATAAGCACCGATCAGTCATTTTGTGGGATAAGTGTTGTGGTATCAGTAGCTCTTCAAACGCCGCCTCATCCAAACGAGTGTCATTATGTTTCCCCGTTTGATGCCAGCAATAAAACCAGCGGCATTTATATTGCTCACTCGAGCCCGCTTCCTCGTCTAGAAAAAAAGGAGAAGGAATTGAAGGACTCCTCTCGAGTGTCAAGGCCTGATGAGATTTTTTTTGTGATTGAGGAAAAGGAAAACAAAATGAGGAAAGTGATACAATTTGGTTCATTTCCCGCGCCGCGCGTAGGCGAAAACTACCGTGCCATCCATCAAACTATCGCCCGACTGTTGCCACGTTTTCTTCCCTTGGCGTAAAAAGCAAGGAAGGCTTGCTGCTGTTTTCTTAGACTAGTCCAAGTGTTGTGTGTGTGTGTGTGTTTTTACTAGAGGTGTGTGTTTTGTTCGGGAGGAAAAAATATTTATCGTCGATGCCGTAAATTACCGATAATGACAGCAGGCCCCAGCAGCCTCGGGGCTGGCTGCAATTCACGGCTGAGTTGTGGAGATGTTGACTACGAGATGACGTCACATGAGACCTTCTTTTAACGGGATTTTCTTTTAATCAAACAGTGAATTTAGGAGGTGCGTGTGCAACGATATACGTAGTTTGTCGTCACGGGTGAGGTCCGTTGTAAAAGGAAGCCAAGTCGCGATAACAGGGGATAAATAAACCCTTTTGAGTTCGTGTGTTTGAAAGTTTGTTCAGATAGCTCGATGGGGGGGGGGGGGGGGGGGCCTTAGGCCTGATTTTGTTTGTTTGTGATGTCACATTGCCGTTTTAAAGCAATACGAACTGAGGACTATAGCGATTGAAAATGTGGCATTAAATTTCGACACAATTTGTAAGAGTTTCTTATTTAAGCACAGCTGCAGTTCATTGTCATTTTCTCTCTGGAAATTGGACATCTGTACTTGATAAATTTTGGATCATTGCTTTGAAACAGATTGAATCTGAATTAGCTAAAGACACATTAAAAAGTGCTACCTTCGGTATTTCTATCCGAATAAGAAATGAAGTGTACAAACGACGTCGAAAAAATATCGAAAACTAGTGAGTCCGCGGTCCACGACATTGATCATAAAAATGGAAACATACCTTTAGCCCCTAGTGTTCAACATTTACCACAGTGATAAATCAATCGTAAAAATAGCTCCAAAAACCACATCATCACCCACAATAACCGTTTAATTTATTGCCCACTCGTGACAGCGGAAAACGCTCATTACAAAATGACAAATCCCACAAAATGTGCCAACGCAACACAGCACAACTCTTTCCGCGGTCGTGTCCCAGGACCGGAGCTATAAAAGCGACCCCGCAGCGACTATTTGTCCCCGACATTAGCCCCCCAGTGGCAGGGGAAGGCGCGGTGTCCAGCGGCCTAAAAAGCCGGCCGATACGTACGCGGCGCGGTGCGGTGATGTAAACACGGCCGGGCTCTCGCCGCGAAAATTACATTCACGCGTCGCGGGGCTATTAAGCGGGCAGGCCGCGGACGACGGGGCTACAAAGGACCCGCCGATACGGCGGGATGTTAGCGGATCGTGCTCCCGTGGAGGGAGGGAAATACCGACCCAGTGGGCGGAGATTTATGCGGCTACAAGTCTATTACAAAGAGGAGCATTTAGAATGATTGATGTGCACGCTGTAGATTGCGCCGTGTAGAATTTAAAACTTACATCCGCAAACAGTCGTGGAACCTTACGCATGCATTTACTTCACCTCGTGTGACATTGCGCATGCGTGCACTCTACTAGGTCACGTGATATCAACTAAGTAGTGTCAGGCTAACTTGCCAATGGATTTGAATCTTGAAAACGGTAGAATATAAAGTAACATGCAAGAAAATTGTTTGAATAATCAACATGTCTATAAAAGGATATCTGGACCAAGAAAGAACATTATCAGTTGTACGAAGGCTGTCATTTTAAAATGCTTGTCAACATGGGGAAACATTTTCTAAATTTTCACCATTGCCCGGCAATTTGCACCCACAATTCAAGTAGTTGTTCCCTCAAAGTCCCCCCGGGAACCCACTCGTGTAACCGGTTCTCTTCTGAAGGGCGCCATTAAGGATTAGCCCATGTGCGTGCCCTTTGATGAATGTGTTTTGGATTCCGGACACACCTTGTTGGTATACTAGGTAACCAGCAAAGGTCAACGGTAGTAGCAGGAGATGAGACTTGATCAAGTCCACCCGATAGAGGGCGCCGAAAGACACACGTGCATGACGTCATCATTTGAAGGGGTTTCTAAATCTGGGCTAAGTTTTCAGGATCTGCTTTTAGACATTTAAGGCCTCTGAAAGTTCGAGCATATCTATATTGTTTTTGGAAATTAAAGGTTTTCAAATGCTACTTGCGCCGGTTTGAAGCCGACGTCGGAGACAACCGTGGTTTAGAAAACTATCATGATATATGCGCTGCCTTTAGGGCTATTCCCAAATGTGTATCCCCACACTGGCCTGGCCTCCTTAAAAAGTTCTAAGATAAGACACATCAGTCAACGCTTCTGGGTGTTGAATTCGATGCCAATGGGTATTACATCGGCTTTCCGCTTCAAAATTCACTTCAGGATATTACAAAAGGTTAGGCCCGCCAGAATTCCGCGCTGGAATCTATATAAATTGATTTATCGAAGATAACATTCTGCATGTGAAACATTTGTGAACGTGGCTGGCAGTGACCATTTTTGTAATCATACAGCATTTTTTTTTACGTCGTATTTCCGCGAATGTTACAAACGCGAACATGATTATGTCAGTTTTTATATTCTCCTTGACTCAAGCCCGGTTCATACTTCATGCGAATGCGAATGTGAAGCGAATTTGACGTCATTAAACATTTGCTGCGAAATTCGCCCGAGTTGAAATGTGTTCAACTTTTGCGAATTCGCAGCGCGAATACTTGCCACGACGTCACAAATTCGCGTTGGCATTCGCTTTCGCGCCGAGTATGAACCGGGCTTTAGTTGAGAGCCATCATCGCAACCCTTAACAGCAGTTTCTGACAGTTTGGAACATTGATGAGTACGCTGTAGTAAGAGAATGCATGCAGCAGGACTGACACCTACACGGACAAACGGACTGATGCTGAGACAAACCAGGAGCAGTCGTGTCCAGCCTCTAGTGTCCTGTTGGTGCCTATCTCATTGACTGACTGACTGACTGACTCGCCGACCATGAAGGAAGAAAAACAGACTGACTAACTGAATGACTCCCCGACTCTCCGACTGACCGACCGACTGACAGACTTTGCCACTTATGACTTAGACTGGATACCTATCGCACTTACTGACTGGCTTATTAGACTGGTATGGGACCAACTTTACTGTGCTCGCTACAGTCGTGTCGGGAAGCAAGCAGCGAAGTTAACGTGTGAAAGCTAATTTCAGTGCTAGACTGATTTTTTGTGTGTGGTCAGGTCAGTGTTTCTGCCGCCATCTTTGCATTTCTTTTTATGTTGTTTCTTGCAGATAAGTAACCTATCAACGATGAGGGCGCTACTCCTCATCGACGTCATTTTCGTCGTCCTGGCCGGGCCAATCAGCGCCTGGCAGAAGATCTGCGGGGAGCAGCTAGTGGAGACTGTGTCTGTGGTCTGCAGCACGAGGGGGTTCTACAGTCATCGGGTGGAGAAACGAGAAGGTGGGTTGCTGGAATAGTTGGGGGCAGACTAGTAAATAAATTACTATAGACACGTTAAATGCCTTCGAAAATCGTGTAAAATATTCTCCAAGTTTTCAAGACCACATTAAATTAAAGCTTGATTACCCTCTTTATTAAACCGATCCACTGCTCTATTGCAAGCAAAAGAGGAACTTTTGGATACAATTTCATCCCAAGGGCGGATCAAGAACACAATTTCTTTTTTTGTTGGGGGGGGGGTGCAAATAAAAGTTGGTCCGCCAAAAAGTGGGCCCAAAAAATTGCAGCGAGGGGTTCGGGATTTTTTTTTTGATTCTAGATGCTCTGTGGTGCGATCTGAGGTAATTTCTAATCACTTTAACCATTTTTTTAAAAGAAAAGATGGTGGTGTACGCAGTGTCTGCCTTTATTGCGACGTCACTTAAAAAAAATGGGTTCTTTTTTTGGGGGGGGGGGGGGCGGGGGGGGGGCATTGGCTCCCCTGGATCCGCCCTTGTTTCATCCCAAATGTCTCAGAAATGCAAGCTTTAAGTCCGGTTTAGAGCTTTGAACATGGATTGCTACAGACCCTTAGGCCTAAATGCAAGGGCCGCTAAACTCTCTGGTAACTGAGATAACCGTGAACATACAAATCGTGATGTGGTCGGAGTAAGAAATCATGGGCTTTTCTTACCGGCCTGCAACCTACCAAGCTAGCGCCAGGGTCCAAGAATGACCGGGACTGACCTGTCATTTTCCGGCAACCCCAGGGTCCAAGAATGACCGGGACTGACATGTCATTTTCTGGCAACCCGGACCCCTAAACCATCCCACTGTCGCCCTTCTTGCACTTTGTTATTGCGGTCGTAAGCTCGGCCATCCGCCCTGGCGTCGACGGTTGTCAGATACTCTCAAGCGATAACTGTTTCCCTCCAATTGTGAATCACCAAAACCTGTGGCTTTCAATAAGAGTTAAAAGACTCTTCAAAAGACCGGTGGAGAATGACTTGGTTGGTATCACCTGGCTCAGATGGCCTAGCTGCATCGATGACAAAGTGATAAACAAAACTTCCGACTCGGCAGACTTTGGCAGCCGCTACCTGGTGCCATGCGGGTTGCGATAAAGATCGAGAAGGGTGGACTGTGCTAACATACCATTGGTGCCAGTCTATTTTTGGTCGAAGCAAAGAAACTATTTTGGTCGAAGCAAAGAAAGTTGGGTCAGAGGCGTTGCAAAAAACAAAAGTCAGAAAGCAGTTGTTTATAATTTCGCCATCATTTCCCAAGGGACTCATTTCCCTCGCAAACATTGCCTGCCGTAATGTAAAAGTGATGATCAATGACTTTGATAAAGAATACTTGAAGGAACCTGTGTGTCATGACAGTAGACACGACCTAGTACATAACCTAGACGCCTATATGCCTTCGAAAATCAAGGGAAAGTCATTGTCGAATTGTATAAAGTGCACATTTTATAGGAGTGGGTCTAAAGAGACTAGACATGATAAAGTGTTTATTTTGGTTTGACAAGGTTATGATCAACAGTTTTTTTTTATTCCCTACCTATACTCAGCCGAGCTGTTTCAGGACGAACGCACCGCAAAGAGCTTCCTGAGCTCCCACATCGGCTCCAGACAGCGGAGACGGACCGGCCGCATCGCCACGGAGTGCTGCGAGAAAGTCTGCAGCTTCGACATCGTGGAGAGCTACTGCAACCCCTGGCCGGTGGTGGAGGACCGGGACGACCCGATGCTGCTGGCCCCGGTCGCCCCGGGGAGGGTCCGGCAGGACAAGTCGGCCGACGCAGACGAGCTGCTGCTGATGCAAGAGGCGGCCGCCGGCGAGCAGTTCGCCGAGGAGAACTCGCTGCTCCGGCAGGAGGAAGAACTCATCGACGCCCTGGAGACGCTGGAAAACAAGAACGCTGAGGGGGAAAACGTGGTGCTACAACAACCCGAGGAGTTCGAGGAAGTCGAGGAGATGACGGAGCCGGAGACAGAAAGGGAGGAATTGGAGGAAGAGTTTCCCTTTCCGGAGGTGATCCCGACCAAGAAGAGGAGGCGGGTTGAGGGTCGGAGATCCAGGGAGAACAGCAGGGACAGGAGTGGGAAGTCCGAGGGTAGGAGCAGGAAGAAGAGTGGCAGCAGGGAAGGGGATCGATCGTCCCGCCGGCGAGGGAAGAGCTCCAGGAGGAAGAAGGGGAGAGATGGACGCGAGAGGAGCAAGCGATGGGAGGGCTTGGTGACATCTCACCCACCAACAAAAGAAATAGTAAGTGAATGACACCATGACTTGCGTCTTGACAATTTGATATATTCATTAATTTTATAAGATAAAATATATCAGGCCCCTTATTTTCACATGTCTTATATTCTAATTAACGACATCGTAACTTCGATCATTTTCATCAATTACGTACATGATCATTATAGTCGATGATAAAGGGTCCATGTGATGTCTATTTCTCAGTTTCACATCTTGTGCAACTTTATTTGACATCCCGTTTTGGTTAATTCGATTGAAAAGGGCACTTCTTGAAACATTTACAATGTTCCATTCTTTTCCTGACAATTTGCTCATTGAAAACGTTTGTAAGAAAGAGTTGCTCATTGGCTTAATACCAGGTACTTACACAACAAGGAATCGCTTCATATTCTAGTAACTTTTGTGCTGAAATAGCTGTACCATTACGGTTTCTGACCAGAATAACATCACAGTTTCGTTCATGAATATCCCAATATGCATTCGCATGGACATGAAAAAGGCACCAAAATATCCTTCAAAGTGGCATAAAGAAAAAGTGAAAAATGTAATGAATTGAACATCTTCGTAATCGTAATTATCACGAACACTTTCAATCACCACCACCATCATATCACCACCATCACCACCCCCATCATCAGTCTCTTAGACCCCATCATCGTATCGTTCTCACCATCAACGACATTGCAAACGAAGATAAGGCCTTTCTCTCAGCCGCCGTCGTCTCCATGCTAGCTCTTCTCTATCTCAACTGTCGAGGGAACTCAATCTCTTCTGACAACCTCATTCCCAGCCCCGACCCCAAAGTATTAGACCCCGTAAGCTTCATCCGAGTAACTCATTTGTGCGTGTTTCCGTCAGGTTGACGCCCTGAGAAGTGCCTTGCGTGCGGCCGGCAGGACGCCCTCCCTCTTCGCCCCAGCAAATAACTTCCTCCTCGACGAGCAACGCAGCCCACAGGCCACGCCGACGGGACTTCAGCACCGGTCGGCGCTAGACTTGTCATCAGGCAAAGCTGGCCGCAGTTACCGGGTGACCCAGAAGGACAACCAGTCGACGCTAGAGGCGCTATACAACCTAGCCGTGCGACTGTCCAGGCCAAGAAGAGGTTGACAGAAATGTTTTTAAAAAAGGTTGACATTTTAGAACTGGATTTAAATCACAGCGCCCTCTTTTGTTGAATGGGCGATGGGGCTCCGACCACGTTGTTCCTTCTTTGTTTCCAGATGTGATCTATGTTGATGTCGAATTGATTCAGCTGATTAATGCTAATTATAAACTTGTCCTGTTTGCAAGCTAACTTCACAATTTTCAGTGTCATACATATTCATTTTGGGGTCATTAGGTCAGATGTCATCAGATTTTACATTTATAGTTAATACATGGTATCCCTCAGTCACTAGGCGGTCACAAAGGAGAATCTCTTGCGGTTTAGTTGAGCGCCAAAAAAAACCCCAAACAAACAAACACACTAAAATTACGACATAAAATGCTGCAAACCAAATGGTGACCTTTGCCCTTTTTGTTGACATGCGCACTGATGTACATTTTACATTTTTCAAGCTGAGCACGAATTTCCAAAGTCCGTCCAAGCTTCTCTATAGATGCGGTTATTGTGCCTGTTCTCTGGAGGGTTATAAGCGAGAAGTATAATGCTGAGATATACAGACGTGCATGCATCCTATACAATATTTGTTTTGGTTTTTACTCTGCAAAGTTAAACAGAAACTTAAATGCAGATTTTATCTTCTGTGAATTGATATTTCACTAACAGGTATTCGAAGTGCCTATCCGAAATACGATGGCGCCATTATGTTAGAAAAAAAGTGAATCAATATCAGGAAAATGTGTCATTTCCTTCGTGGCCATTTTCGCATGACGGAATTAACCACTGGTGGCGCTCTTTGTGATGACACTTGTCGACCGTGTGCTGCAATAATGGAAAACACCAAAACGGTGGATAGTGATGCTGATGCCCCTATTTAAAAGCATTTAACTTAGCTGCATGTTGCTTTGTAAGACAATCTTTATGTTTATAACTATTATGAGCATTGCGAAACATTTTTTCTGTGCAATACTATGTGGTACTCTTAAAACACTGTGTTTATAACCATTTATTTTATTATTGAATGGATTAGTTCGTTTATGAATTAAGTACAGAATTTACGGCTTCACGTAGTGCATAGCAGAAAATAAATTGAACTTAATGTTGGTAGAAATAGTAAGAGAATACATGTAAAAATAAGCATAGATTAATATATCGTAAATAATTATATATTTTTATGATTATGATTATTGTAAAAGTGATGTTTGTTGTGTCGTCGTACTTCAGTTGTGATTTTGATGTTCGAATTGTGAATCCGAAAATAAATATGACTGAAACTAGCTGCATGATCAATATATAACGGTTTTTAAAACAAGAAAGTGTATATTTTCGAGAGAAACTGAATCTTGTAGCCCTGCCAACCGTGGCAGGAGGTTCAATGTTAAAGCTAATTAGCAAAAGATGTGACGTCGTATCACTGAAATTTTTGACGAACGCCAATTACTCAATTTGTTTTGCAAAATTACATTATCTGCTTGGTATCCTGCCCTTTAGGATGCGGCGCGCGCACACACAGTGTGGACATTTGACCAGCCGTTGCACTCTCTGTACTGTATGGAAGATTGAAATCCTGACGGTCGAGTACCCATCGTCCGCCCACTTACTTCCGTGTAGACAAAGGAGAGGTTGTCAGACTAAACCCCTTGCTTCTGACGTCACAACAGTGATTAAACCTGCCCTATGTTTATGTGAAGGGGGCTCACCAAGTGCTTCAATTAACATTTTGCGCATGCGCAATCCCTACTTGCGCGTGTTTTCAATACGCAACGTTCCTAAACCATGGCCTAAATTCCGAAGATCTTGGAAAAATCCCAAATGTGGCCACGCTGATCATTAGCTTAATTGACTTGAAAGGGGAGTTTAGGGTTTGGATGGCAATTATAACACTTAATCAAAGTTGAATGTTTTCTCATCTTCTGGGACTGAAAATCTTTTCAGGAACAGAAATCTAACAGCAGTTGACATCAATGTGGCATGCAACGTGATCAAAACGTAAGGTTCAACCAAGTCCCAGACGTGGTTGTCCAAACAACATAAACCCACTACTATCTCAAAGAGAGATATATCAATATAGGCAATTATTTGGCAAAATGGAAATACTCCATTTCAGCCAAGGCTAAATTTTAGTGTGTAAATTGTTACTTGTTTACTCTTAATAAAATTGACCTATGTACTTTTTGTCGTATAATGTTGTTTGAATTATAACTGCATAATAAATATTTCTGCAAATATTCCAATTCGATTATCACATGTCTTTAGCTCTTTGTCTCGTGCATTGATACCAGAAATTGGTGCAACTTACGAAAGAAAGAAACAAACAAATAGCGCAACGGACGGACAGACAGTCCGCGGAACGAACGAACAGAATGAGATGGATCGATTAGGGCCAAGGCAGACAGACAGACAGACAGGCAGACATATATTTAATGACCATTTATCTCTTCACTCGCAATCTGAGTGTAGTTACTTTCCACTGCGCATGTTTTTCTTTTCTGTTCGTGAGCAAAAAAAGGCGGAACAAGTGGAATCGCTTGAAGTGCACCTTAAACCAGACCCCATGGTGGGACAAGGCCGGCTAGACCCTCACCAACCACCCTCCTTAGTGTTAATTATCCACCCCTCATCTTTTCAAATCTTGTTTACGGGATACCCTAGAGCTGTTGTCCGTGTGTGTGTTTACGGAAGCACTTCAACTATTGTCGCGAACTGGAAGGGTACAAAAGTCTTGATTCAGCTTAGAGGGAGACGACTGCGAGCTCGACTTTCGAGCCCGCAGCACCCAACAGTCATCGACACCGGGCTATCAGAGACTAAAGGTTAGAAGTTAACAAGCCAGCACAAGTCACCCATCACAACAATCCCAAAGCAAAGTGAATGAAACTATTAGTCAATCTTGTCCGCGTGATAATGCCGGGGATTAGGGCAACTATTGTTCGGGATGTCTGAATAACACCGGAGGGGCTGCAGGTCGGCAAGGAGAGGAAAAAAGCAGCTCAGAAATGACGCTGACAGGGTGTAAAGCGTGGGCCCACCCGCCCATAGAGGATGCGGATGACTCGCCTGCCTCGTGGTGCCGCATTCAAGTCGGATGTTCAACCCTCCCGCTTCCGATGGAACCTCCCGTTGAAACCAAGACCTTAAGAACTTCTCACGTAAGTCTTCATCCACCATCAAAACCATCTTGACTTCCTCCTGGAGCTGCAACCAAGACGAACATCAAGAACTGCCCACTGAACACAAGGAACTGAAATACTCCTGAACCAGATATTCTACCGGACTTCTGTCCTTCCATCGACTGCCTCCAAACTTGAGACTATTGCGGGAGCCTAGAGCAGAATTAGAGAAGAATACGAGCAGGTAGGCCCCCGTGTGACTCACTCTGTATTTTTAACGAGGCAGGTCCGTTTTAGGATCGGATGCCCTATTAATTCTCGTTTGTTTAAATGTGAATGCGTTTGACAGCTCTTAATCTAATAAGGGTTGTATTGCCGTCGGCTTCGCGATATACGGAAACGGTGAATTGTCGTGGTGAATTATACTAAAATACAATATTGCGGTCAAACGAACGACAAACAGAAGTGGCTTTCATTGTTTTGCTTCGTTCACGCCTGCTGTCAATTAAACTTGTTACTGGTTGTATATGCCTCGCCTGCAATAATCGTTTTTTTTTGGGGGGGGGGGAAATTTGCCGTTTGTGGTCCCTTTTATAGTTAGCTATATTTAGCTCTGAATATCTGGATGAAAAAATACTCAATCGCGAGATTTGAAAGAGCGTGATTTTTTTTCGAAGCCTTTTTTTCTTCTAAATTTCGCATTATACTTATTAAAAATCTAGTGAGGAAGTGTAAACGGCAACTTTTAACTAAGAAAACTATTTTGGGATGTGATAATAATCAATTTTAATATTTACCTGAAATCTATCAAGTTGGAGCCGTGTAATTGGATGTTATCATCAGTGTATCGTTGAAGTTAGTAACTAGGCTAGTTATAACTAGATAACTACATCATATAATGATTTAGTTATGACAATAGCGTGCTGTCAGCAAGTTATCAGTATAGGCGGAAAATGGGGCAAATCGAAGAGGCTTATTATGATACTTAGCCCGCCTGACCTCGATGATAGCACGGCGTGTATAGGAGGATTAGTGGCATCTTTTCACCGGGGATGTTTGAGCGCACGAACCCGTGAACTATACGGGGAGACATCACCGAGAATACCCCCATTCAGGGCTGGAATGCCGGGCCGACCTTCCGGGAGGTTACTTGCCTCGCCAGGGAACAAAAAAAGTTGGAAATGTTGCATTTATCTCGGACATTAAGAAAAAGATACCCACGGAAGCGAATTAAGTTCCTTGAAATGCACCCTCAATATACCCAAGAGAAAACGAGTGGGGCGCTCACCACGTTGAAAAGCACTGCATCTGCATGCGTTGCCCCTGTCACTCTAAAACAAGCTCGAAATGATCTTGGAAGTGCGGACCAACGAATTCGTGTTCATACATGAGTGGCATGATTGTGCCATGTAATTTCTGGAAGGAGTAGTGTTTGAGTACAAAAATCAGTTTTTTTAAAACCATGGTGACCCCATGAGGACCTTTGACGGTCAGTAAAGACCCATTAAAGTGACACAAGGGAGGGCCAGGGCCTGAGGAACGAGTTGATATTATAGCCATGCAAGGCTGCACTGGAACGTTTGTTACTAATTAACTAACGGAGAGACACGACGATTTGTTGAGCTGCTGTCCACAGCTAAAAATCATTGGTCAGATTCGACCCGGACTCTGGTTTATATTTGCCTGAATTTTTTTTGGGGTCAAATTGACACTTTTGCCAAGGTTTCCGAATCGAAAGACCTGGATAATGAATCACACATGTGTCATTTCGACTCGGAAGAGTGTCAATTTCGACCCTGAATAGTGTCATAGGCCAACTGGCTCCCGGATCCCGAGTCCATCTGGTCACTTTTTCAGTGTTTTAATGTTGACTAAACTTATAGGCTTACTGATTCGCTCATGATATTTCATTTGAAATTGAGGAACGTGTAAACCCTTTATTTGTCGGTTTTAAGTATTTTGGTGAGTCCATGAAGGAAGGAATAACTTCCATGATAGCGAGTGTAAGGGGGTTGCATGGGATTGAAATTCTAATAATGTTGCCAACTTCAATGGCGTTTGTATGTTTGGTCATATATACTCCATAAAATTTGATGGTTCGAAATTAAATGAGCCCCCGAACACACACAGTTGAAAATACTGGGTTTCCTCTAACTGAACCAATCTTGATAAGTTGTACTTGAATATAGCCTAATTAGACAGCACATAATATATGAAAACTCTCTTGAACAAAGTGAAGAACAGGTGTTTTCGAAATAGCTGCAGTACATTTCGACATTTGTCGTGTCATTTCATTCTCACTTGGTCATGTCGGATTTACCGGTGGACCACAAGTGGTTCCAAAGATTGAATCGAAAATAATCGCAAAAGATTAGCGATGACTATAAACAAAAATACTCGTCCGACAGGGTGAATACGTTACACACTGACAGTCCACAAATGATATGATAATTTCTGTGCAAAATAGCTCTATAAAACTATTCCAGGTTTTCTTCGGGAGAAAATGACTGCAATGATTTTCTGAGCTACTATTTCTAGGTATATTTGATTAATATTGAAGCAGCGCAGCACGGGCTGCAGCCTCTTGTCATCAAACTTGTTGCATACATGGGGAGTCAGAATAATCTGGACCCAAATTAAAGAAAATATTAAAAATATGTAGCAATTATCAAAACAAGTGCAACTGAGATATGTTATAGGCTGGTATTTTGGACATTATGGTGACAGTTTCATGTATATCCATTTGTACCATTTTGAAGAAAAGCGCCAGCAAAGAACACACGCTAAAAATCCTCTGACCACGGTTCCAAGGTTCAACAAATTTACTGAAATCGCATACTGATGTGACTGCATTGTTTGTACTTTATTTTTTTTCTCGAAAAAAGAATTAATTTTCTGGCTTGGTTGAGGTTGTAGACTGCATAGTTTATAGCTATAGTATCTAGTATCTGTATAGTATAGCTTACCAACAATAAACCTACCGTCTTTTATTGTTAATTTCTAGATACATCTAATCTGTAATTAGTATAATTGCCAACGATTGCTCGCAGAATTCAAGACACCGCAATTTTAATTATGAACTCACGCGCGATGTTACTGCATGAGTTAACGTATTCTCAATCTCAAACTACCGAACGGAACCCCCTGCATTTGAATTGTTATAAGTATAGTCGTGACGTCGTTTCGTTTTGATGGCAGTCCACGTGGCACATTTTAAAATCCACCTTTCTGAGAAATGATGCATAGATCCTAACAATGACGAAACGTAACATGAATGTCTGGCATTGAATTCATGTCGCAATAGCCTCACGAGCCAACTTTGTAGGGCTGCTTAGCAAGAAAATAGTACTCAATATTCTGCTCAGCGATAATCCGTTGGGATGCAGTGACGAGGAATATCATTCGATGCAAATTGGCTGGTAAGAAGTTTGTGCCATTACTTTTTTTCCGCTAAGCGAATTTTAATGTACGTAGTCAATTACATACGACTACATTGGCTTAAAGGCGTATAGGATCATTTGCATTTATCCCAAAAGTATAACCTACCAAATTGATTTTAAAAAAGCTGACTTTGATTAAAGATTGTACTGATACTAAACACCCTGTGAAATTATTCCGTCGTCTGGCTTTCTGTCATTTAGAAGACTTCGAGAAATGTAGTTGATTTCCAAAGATCAGTCAATGGACTGAAGATCAGTCAATTTTGACTTTTGGAAGTTAAGAGTGCTATCGACGAAATCCTGTCTCGTGATCAAAAGACTGGGGGCGGTTTTTCACTGATTTTTTTACGAAAAATGTAATACCCACTGAGCTGAAACTTCCACAGGTTAGATTTTGAACATTCTTTGTTGGATTTTGGGTGGCGCTATTATTGGAAACGACCAAAATACCGTACGAGAAGCAGTTAATCCTATAGGCCTATGCCTTTAAAAATGATGTAAGGCAGGTGAAGACTGATGTTTACTGCAATCTGTACGTGTTTTAACAATTGACACGTGCTGTCTGAGTGATTTTGTTTGGTGTGGACCTTGTACACATTTCAAGAGCACTTGTCGCCGACAGCGAGATATGAAACAATGCTATAGAATGTAAGTTATTGCCCAATACATGTTATTGACAAAATA